ACACTGCTCTAGGGAACCCCCTTCTCAGCCCTGTGTAGGCAGCCTGGAGGGTATTTTTCACTAGTCAAGGGACAGAGATTCTAGAGACATTCTGTGTAGCTGACCCTACAGTGTTATGTTTTTATGGAATCAGGCTTCTATTCATTTCCCTGTCAATTTCATTACTGATTGCGCAATGCATTTTCAGTGAAGCCCTTGTTCACAGCACAAGTGATCACACTGTCTCAAGAGTTTTAGATATAGAGATAACTAACCATTAAAAATTTTTTTCTGTTGACTACAAGTCTGCCCTCCACCTGTAGGGCATCTCATCCTGAAGAGCACTTTCCAATTCTGCTCACGCACACTGAAACTCTGAATGGCTGGACCTCCCTGTATGTGATCTGAGTGTTCCCATCTTGGGAGCTGTTCATTTCCCCACCCTTGGCAATGTAGAGCCATGCCTTGCAGAGCTATGGCAGATTCCACTGTGGGGGGGGGCTCTCTCAGCATCTCACTGGTAGAGACCATCACACTGTCACACATCTTGCAGCCATAGGTCACTGCCCCTGCAGTGTTTATTAGGACCTAGCATTAGCAGTAATGAGTTCCAGAAAGCCTTATGAAATGTCTTAAATATCGTGTCTGTTTGTATTAAAAAGTCAATTTTCTATATTTACATTACCCTCCATAAAACTTGGACATTTCAGCAAGCTGGCATCAGCATATTGGAAAGCACTGCTGTCCACTTCTTCCTCATCTGTCAGTTGACCTAGGAACAGTGAGTGACCTCGCTATGGATCCATGGAAGAGCAAGGTGTCCAAAGAAGAGTCAGGACCAGAAAAAAGAGCAGGACCTGCCCACAGACAAACATGGACTCCAGATCTCTCTGTGCTTTCCTGAGTGTCTGAGGGCAAGATTGGACTAGGACTGGACACTGATTCCTGTCTCACATAAATTGATTAAGAGAGAGCTATGGGATAATAGGGATTTGTGGACATATGGAAATGATACTGAGTTGATTCCCTAAGATGCAAATCACCTATGTCAAATCTGTTCAGCTATACAACAGTCATTTATTTATAATTTCAAAATTTTGAGCAATATTAAGTATTATGGAGGGAATTTGTGCAAGGATTTTAATACAATTATCTATCCATCATTCTATCATCTATTAAACTACTTGTCCATCATCATTGTATCCATCACTATTGATCCATCAATTCTCTATTTACCTTTCATTTTTTTAACTCAGTGCCTTGTTATTTTCTATCCTTTGTGCCTGTATCATCCAATATTTGGCTATTTTGTATCACTCTGTCCACATACATTTTAACTATTTCATCAACAGTCATCTACCTATCATTGATGGATGTATCATCTGCTTATCTTAACTGCTTTATTAACATAGCTGAGACAAAACTGTGGATATGTGGTCTATAATTGACAAGACTGCCTAAGAGACTGAGGAAATGGTATAACGGAGAAGACCATTTTCCCACGATTTACTTTCTCTTGTAAAGCAACCTGGACAGAAACACATTGGAAGAGACTATGTTTTCATTAAAAGTTATGCTTTCTCTAAATGTAGGACTCCATGTCCTGAGTATTTGTATAGCAGAATGAAATTTGATGTTCATTCTGAAATCATCAGTCCTGCATCACAGTTAGTGTAATGTGTGTATTGAAAACCAGAAACAGCAAAATTGAGATTTAAATTTGGAGCAGGTCTACAAACTAGAAAGCCTTTGTTCTCTCTCTCTCTCTCTCTCTCTCTCTCTCTCTCTCTCTCTCTCTCTCTCTCTCTCTGTCTCTCACAATTTTCCATACACATAATCCATTTCATTTGAAAAAAGTATATTTAACTTTTAAATTCAAACATTTTCCCAAAACTCATTTATCTTTGCCAGAGCTCTCAATTTCTTTATTGTGCTTCATTAGTTGGGTAATTATCAATCACTCATTTGTATGTGATGTTGCATGAAATAGGAAATGACTTCAGCAAACTAAATAATGTCTCCCTTCTGTTACAAACTTCTTGTGACTCAGGAATACACTGATCTGAAGGAAATGACCCACACTCCTAACCCCTTCACATTCATGGTTCCTGAAGGCAGAGCTGAGGTGATGTCCTCACACTGAAATCCCTGCCTCCCTAAAGTCACCATGGACCTCACCATCCAGCTCATTATGTGAAGCTAACTAATCCTCATCCTTCATCCTTCTCTGCTCCTTGCCTGAGACCTCTCCCTGTTGTGATTTCCCAGGTACTCTGGCACCATCCAGCAGGGTGGGCGCACCTCCCAGAACACACTGCCACCTAGGATGGAGTCAGCTCTTCACTGTGGCTCTTTTAAATTTCTGTTTCCCAGTAGATCTTTCAAATCCCTGATAATTTCTTATGTGAATCCTGTTGCATCTTTTTCAACGTCTTTTCAGTTGAGATGTATTTTTAACCTTGTTGGATCAGACCCTTGATTCCGGTTACAAACCAGTTAAATTTGAACTCTAAAAATTTCTTAAGTTCCCTGCTTCATGCTTATAACAATCAAAAACTTATTTCCATCATTGTAATGGAAGGAAAATCCATAAAATTTGAGCATCCTCATATTATATTGGACCCACAAGAGTGATACTGGAAAAAGTTTACTTTCCTTGAAAACATCGAAGACTGGAAAATCCAGCATCACTAGTGATACCTATTCCCTTTACAAAAAAGTCACAGGACATCCACAGTAGAGGGAACAGTGACAGGGTGAGGAGGGGTGACTGGAGGATAGCAGAGGACCAGGGTGAGATTGAAAGCTCCTTAGATAGCTAAACCCACAGGTTCCCCCAGAGCCCTCCATGATCTCAAGGTGAGCACCAAACAGACACTCAGGGCTCTGACAGGGAAAAAGTAGGACAGATACCTGAGATCATCACCAAGTGCCTTCTCCAGACAAACAGGGAAGGGTTTTGGTTATGGCTTATATCTACATGCTCCCCCAAAGCCTCATGTTCACATACATGGGGAGATATGAAAGTGGCTTGGTGTGAGGGGGCGAGCCTTGTGTGGATGAGGCAAGGCAAACCCTGGGTGTGTTTGGCAGCACCCAAAAGCCTTTTGGCCTGGATGAGATAAAAGGAAAAGGCAGACTGGCTGCTGCTGCTGCTGCTTGCTGTCTTCTTCCAGCTGCCTGTTTTTTCTGCCATGTAATGGGCTTTTTACACCTCCATGGTGCTTCTTGACCATGCCATCCTGCTTCAGAACCAGGTCACTAAAGACTGAATCCTGGGGCCAGAAATTTAGCTCAGCAGCATAAGCGCCTGACCAGTAAGCACAAGGTCGTGAATTCGATATCAGTACCAAAAAAAAAAAAAAAAAGACTGAATCCTGTACAAAGTGTGAGCTAAATAAACTAGTCTTCATTTAACTTTCATGTCAGGATTTGGTCAGCAAGCACAATGGTAACCAAATTAGCTTTGGTGGTGGATTGAGGACTATTGGTAAACCTAACTCCAGCTGAACTGAATCACTGTGGTTCTGAGTGTGGATGACCTACTGGAGAACTATTACCAACACCATAAAATGAACTGGAGAGGAAGAAATGTTGTTGTGTGGCCATGTGGGTTTTCCTAAGTGCTACTAGATTTCCTGTTGCTGTGGGTTCACCTGGAGAAGCTTAGTGAGCAACTTTCCTGATATGAACATGGCTGTTGTCTTCATCAGGGGGGCTCAGGACTTTGTTGTGATTAAGAATGGGTGAGTTCACTTTGGGGAGCTCTGGTCCTTACTTTTGCACATTGCTTCCTGCCACCAGTGGGGAAGATGAGTGCTGTTCAGTCTCCTGGAGAAGTTGTCACACTGACTTCCTGGTATAAACTGTAATAATTGTCATCAGATTAGGAGCATGTTAACTTGTTGTTGCTGTGGATGGCTGTATTACTTTGGGGGGAGCTCAGGTCCTTAGTTTGAGTGCAGCTTCATGGCTGCAGTGCAGATCCATCAGCCCACTGTCACAGATCCTTCACCTCGCAGGCACAGACTTTCTGGGTTTCACTGCTGATCTTTGGGCCTTCCCAATGCAGATCTCTGAAATAGACTTGGATGAGGCATTGTCATGTGCTCTAAGTCTTCATCTGGGGTCATGCAGGATATTTGTCTGAGATCCAAAACCTTAAGTGGATCCTTTGGGTCTTAGTGCATGAATAGATTTCCTGCACTCGTTCTTCAGGGTGATTATCAGAAAAAATACTATAAACTATGTGTCTTGTATTGTATTCTTCTCCTTTAAAATTACGGGTGCAACAGCTTTCAAAAAATTATTCATGGTAGACAATTACTACCAATTTCAATCACTAATTTCAAAGACTCAAGTGAATACCACCACTTGTAATACCATCATGTTTGTACCATGTACATAATGTTCATAATATATAATTGTTCATGAAAGAAAACTCTAATGAGATAAATGTTTTGAACTTAGGAATCACTTCCAGAGAAGAAGAGGAGATGCTGGATCTAGAAAAGGAATGACCATTCCATAAAACCCTCTAGCTCATGTAGGGAGAGCAAAATTAACCTAGATGGCCTCGTTCTCTTCCCAGATGATTAGAAACTTCCCTGTGAGGTAAGCACAGAACTCATTCCTTTATTTCCAGGTTCTGCTGGATCTGCTCAGGTGGTACTTGTACCAAAGGATGTCTTAGAGCAGGAGGCAGGTGGACCTCTCCTGACAACAGTAATAGCAGTGAAAGATGCTTTAAAGCAACAAAAATGGAACCAAATCAGGAAGCTAAGGGAGACATAGAGAGAGTTGTGTTGAATTTTTTCATGAAAATTGTCACCAAAATTGTGTGACTGGGAAGAGAAGAAGGATCAGGAAGAATCCATTCTTGAACTTAACTTCCATGTATCACAGACTTAAACCCAGCTAGAATTCAGAAAAAGTGGGTCCTCTCAATAGCAGAAAAGATAAAACATAGCCTGGCCTTAATGTCACCCTCATATAAGAAGTGTGCAACCAATATGCAAATATCTGCTCCAACTTTAGATTCATAATTCTCTCATGGGTTGTGGGAGCTCACAGCTCCATCCCCATACAGGCTGTGGTCTCTCAGGAAGGTAGCAGTGTGATCTACAAGATGAGACTGCTGGGTCTTCTCCTGTGCCTGATGACAAGTCCCCATGGTGAGTGTTCTCAATATCAGACATGGCTCCATGAAAAGTTTGCAAAAGCAGGTGATTAATTGGATGGATTTTATTGTCCTAGGTGTCTTGTCCCAGGTGCAGCTACAGGAGTCAGATTCTGGCTTGGTGAAGCCCACACAGACCCTGTCCCTCACCTGCTCAGTCTCTGGAATCTCCATCACAACCAGTTATTACTGTTGGAACTGGATGCGTCAGCCCCCAGGAAAGAGCCTGGAGTGGATGGGATACATATGCTACAGTGGTAGTACTGGCTACAACCCGTCCCTCCAGAGCCGCATCTCCGTCTCCAGAGACACAGGCAAGAACCAGTTCTCCCTGAAGCTGAACTCTGTCACCACAGAAGACACAGCCATCTATTACTGTGCAAGATACACAGTGTTTTGATGCAAGTGTGAGCCCACACATAAACCTTCCCGCAGGGAAAATCACACCCAGCAGGGGGTGCCATGCACAAGTTGCTCTAGGGAACCAGCTTCACAGGTCTGTCCTGACAGTCTGGAAGGTTTTTTTTAGTAGTCCAAGGACAGAGATTCTAGGGGCCTTCTATGTCTCTCATCCTACAGTGTTATGTTTTTATAGAATCAGGCTTTTACTCTTTTCCCATCCATTTCATTACTGATTGCACAATGCATTTTCAATAAAGCCCTTTTTCACAACGTAAGTGACTACACAACTCAAGAGATTTTAGGTACACAAATATTTAGTATTTATTTATCTATGACTGGAAGTCTGGCCTCCACCTTCAGATGCACCTGCGTGGCATCTCATCCTGAAGGGCACTTTCCATTTCTGTTCATGCAGAGACTTTTAATCTAAATGGCTGGACATCGCTGTGTGAGTGTTGATTTGAGTGTTCACCTGTTATTGGAGCTGTTTGTTTCCCCACCATTGGAGATGTAGGGTGATACCTTGGAGAGCTGTGGTGAATTCCACTGTGGAGGGGCCTCTCTTGACATCACATTGATAGAGATCATCACACTGTCACACATCCTACAGTCATAGGGCACTGCCCAAGCAGTGTTTATTAGAGTCTAGCATCAGTAGTAGAGAGTTTCAGAAACTATTGCAGAATGTCTTAAATGTTGTGTCTGTTTTTATGGCAAAGTAAATCTGCTCTATTTACATTACCTTCCGTGAAATTTGGAAATCTCTGCAAGCTGCTATGAGTATGCCTGGAAACACTGTTGTCCTCATCTGCCAGTTGACCAGGGAACCTGACCTTGGTTCCTTGAGTGAACATGATGCCCACAGCAGAGGCAAGACCAGAGAGGAAGCCAGAGCCAGTCCACAGCAGAACCTGGACTCCAGCTCTCTCTGAGCTCTCCTGACCCACTATGTACAAGGCTGAGCCAGCCCTGTACACTGACTCGTGCCTGGTGTGAAATTATTGGGAGGGGGCTTTGGGATCACAGGGATTTGAAGGCATGTGAAAAATGTCATTGAAAAGATTCCCTAAGATACAGATCATGGTGGCCATACCTCTACAGGTTCAGATATGTAAGCAGTAATTTATTCATGGTTTCAAAATTTTGAACACAAATATTATGGAGAAATCTGAGCAATGATTTTACATAATTATCCATCCTTTTTGTCATCTGTCCATTGATTTATCTGTCGTTGTATAAATTCCCATCATTCTTTCCATCTATGCTTTTGTCATGTTTCTGTTTACCCACTGTCTCTATGTATTTGTTTCATATATGTATCCATTATAAATTTATTATTTATATATATTCTTGTTATCCACTTTTCATTTTGTGCCTTGCAATTATCTGTCCTTCATGTATGTATCATGCATAATTTAAATGTTTTGCATCACTCTGACCATCTGTATCTTAACTTCATCATCTTTCATTTATCTACCATTAATGGATGTATCATCTGCTTATCTCTACCTATATAGGTGATGTGAAAAGCTGTTGATGTAACTGCAAAGATTGATATACTTAACAAAATGGCCTAAGGAGACTGAGAACAAGATATGCCCCACAAAAGCTCTTGCCCATGATTTAGTTCCTTATGTAAACTGACAGCATTACACTGGTGGAGATTACATTTTCTTAAAAGAAAAGCTTCCACATGATACACAGGCTAGTAGTCCCTGTCCTGAGTATTTTCTGTAGAAGAATAAAATTTGATGTTCACTCAGAAATCAGCAATCCTGCAACACAGTTAAAGCAATGTATGTATTGAAAACTAGAAATAGGGAGCCGCGGAACTGCGTCCCAGTCTGGCGGAACTCTCTCCCTTGCCTGAGGGCCAGGCAATGGCTTGAGTACTGGACCAGTGAGTCAGGCCAAGGTGCACAACCCCATCCCGGCCTGGCAGACCTCTCTCCCTCCCCTGGGGTCCAGGCCGTGGCTTCCTGCCCGGACCAGTGAGTCAGGCCAAGGCACAGAACCCCGTCCCAGCCTGGCAGAACTCTCTCCCTCACCTGGGAGCCAGGCCGCAGCTTCCTGCCGGGAACAGTGAGTCTGAGGTGCAGAAACCCATCCTAGCCTGATGGACCTCTCTCCCCCTCTTGAAACAACACTTGAAGCTCGAAAATATAGGGAAATGACAAAACGAAAGACCAAAATGCAATCTCAAATATCCAGCCCATCCCAAGAAAGCCTAGGAGTCATGTGCATAGAAGAAAATACATGGCACATACCTGAAATATCTGAAATAATAGTAGCTGAAATAAAGAAGCAACTTTGGGAAGCCTTAAATGAATTAAAACTAGAAATAATCTCTCAGGTAAAAGAAGAAATGATAAAAGAAATGAAGGAGATGCTAAACATATCTAAAGAAACACAGTTTAAAAATTGGAGGAACTAATTAAAAAGATAGAAACCCTGGATGAAAAATACAAGAAACAAACAGAATACATAAAGCAGATGCAAAGAGATATACAGGAAATCAAAAACTCCATTGAAAGTTGTAAAACTGCCTCAATGAATGTGAAGATAGAATTTTAGACCTCGAAGACAAGACTGCAGCCAGTGAACAGGAAAGGAAAGATCTTTTAAAAATAACAAGAAATCAGGAAATAACAGTTCAACACTTGCAAGATGACGCAAAGAGGAACAACATAAGGTTGATAGGGATAAATGAAAATGAAGGGGACAACATAAAGGATGTCAAGAGGATATTTAGAGAAGTAATAGCTGAAAATTTCCCAAACATGAGAATGGAAACTGATATCAAGGTCAATGAAGCTTATAGAATGCCAAATAGACATAACCAAAATAAAACTACACCAGACATATAATAATGGTCATCCCAGAAATCAAACAAAAGAATAGAATATTAAAAGCTCTCAGAGAGAAAAGACAGATTGCCTATAAAGGAAAAGCTATGAGAACCACAGCAGATTTTTCAGCACAAACAATAAAGTCAAGAAGAGCATGGAATGAAGTATTTCAGATCCTAAAGGAAAATGATTTCCAACCTAGACTGATGTACTCTGCAAAACTGTCCTTCAAAATCAATGGAGGAATAAGACACTTCCATGACAAAGAACAGCTGAAAAACTTCATGATCACCAAGCCAACCCTGCAAAGAATACTGACAGACAACCTAGATACATTTAGAAAAAACCATGAAACAAAGCAGACAATTAAACAGAACAGAAAGATAAAGATGCAACAGCAGAAAGATAACATTTCAACAATAAACCAATATGTAAAAGTTATATCCATTAACATAAGTGGTCTCAATGCACCAATTAAAAGAAACAGACTGGCAGAATGGCTCAAGAAACAAAATCCAACCATATGCTGTCTACAAGAAACCCATCTAACCCAAAAAGATACCCACAGACTAAAAGTCAAATGATGGAAAACAATACTTCATGCAACAGGAACACAAAAAAGTAGGGGTAGCTATTCTGTTTGCAGACAATGTGAACTACAAGCCAATAAAGATTAGAAGGGATAAAGAGGGTCACTACATACTGGTTAGGGGAAAACTCCAAGAGGAAGAGATAACTATCTTAAATGTATATGCACCAAACTCCAGAGCACCCAATTATATAAAACAAGTACTAACAGAAAGGAAAAACCAAATTACCAGTCACACAATTCTAACAGGAGATCTTTGGGGTTTTTTTGTCTTTTTCCTTTTTATTGGTACCAGGGATCGAACTCACGACTGCCTGCTTGCAAGGCAGGCGCTTATGCCACTGAGCTAAATCCCCAGCCCCCTAACAGGAGATCTTAAAACACCATTGACACCAATGGACAGACCAACCAAACAGAAAATCAGCAAAGAAATAAAAGAACTGAATCGCACCTATGAACAAATGGACTTTATAGACATATACAGAGTATTCCACCCAACAACAACAGAATACACATTATTCTCAGCAGTACATGGATCATTCTCTAAAATAGACCATATAATAATTCACAGAACATATTTAAATAAATACAAAAGGGTTGAAATTATCCCTTTCTTGCTTGTGGACCATAGCGCTATGAAATTAGAAATTAATGATAAAAGATACTGCAAAATTCCCACAAACATATGGAAACTGAATAACACACTCTTGAGTAATCAGTGGGTTACAGAGGAAATTAAAGAAGAAATTAAACAATACCTAAAAACAAATGAAAAAACAAATACAACTTACCAGAATCTGTGAGATGCAATGAAAGCTGTCCTCAAAGAAAAATTTATTGCACTGAGTTCCCACATCAGGAAAACAGGATGAATACAAATAAATAACCTGATGTTACACCTCAAACATCTAGAAAAAGAAAAGCAAGTCAAACACAAAGCCAAAAGAAGAGAAGAAATTATAAAAATCAGTGCTGAAATAAAGGCAATAGAGAATTAAAAAAAATCCAACAAAATCAATGAATCAAAGAGTTGGTTCTTTGAAAGAATAAATAAAATCAACAAGCACCTGGCCCACCTTATTTTTAAAAAGGGAAGAAAAAGCTCAAATTCATACAATAAGGAATGAAAGAGGCAAATCAATACAGACCCTATAGAAATACAGAAGGTCATCAACACCTATTTTGAAAATCTCTACTCTCAAATGTTTGATAACGTATAGGAGATAGACACATTCCTAGAAGCATACGAAGTAACAAAGCTAGGTCATGAAGATGTAAAACTGCTGAATAACCCAATTTCTATTAATGAAATTGAAAACGTAATTAAATCTTTACCTACAAAGAGCCCAAGTCCAGACGGATTCACTGTAGAATTCTACAAGAAATACAAAGACCTAATGTAAATACTCTTCAAACTCTTCAATGAAATTGAAAAGGAAGCAGTCCTTCCTATATCGTGCCTAGAAGGAAATATGACTCTAGTACCAAAACCTGAGAAGGACCCAAGTAAAAAAGAAAACTACAGACCAATCTCCCTAATGAACACAGATGCAAAAATCCTCAATAAAATATTGGCAAATAGGATGCAGCAAATCATCAAGAAGATCACACAACATTACCAAGTGGGATTCATCCCAGGCATGCAGAGAAGGTTCAATATACATAAATCAATAAATGTAATCCACCATATCAATAGAGCCAAAAGTAAGAATCACATGATCATTTCTACAGAAGCAGAAAAACTTTTGGTAAGGTCCAACATTCCTTCATGATAAGAACCTTGCAGAAAATTGGAATAGATGGTCTTTACCTCAATATAATAAAGGCTGTCTATGACAAACCAACAGACAATATCATACTAAATGGCCAAAAATTGAAGACCTTTACTTTAAAATCAGGCACAAGACATGAATGTCCATTATCACTGCTCCTATTTTATATAGTACTAGAAATACTAGCCAGAGCAATTAGACAAGAGAGAGAAATAAAAGGCATAAAGATAGGAAAAGAAGAAGTTACATTATCATTATTTGCATATGACATGATACTCTATATAGAAGATCCCCAAAACTCCATTGAAAGACTCCTACATATAATAAATAAATTCAGTAATGTAGCTGGATATAAAATCAATACTGAAAAATCAATAGCATTCCTATACACTAACAACAAATTCACAGAGAGCGAAATAAGAGAAGCCACACCCTTCACACTAGCAACCAAAAAAATGAAATATCTAGGAATTGCTCTCATGAAAGAAGTGAAAACCCTATACAGGGAAAATTAAAGTACACTGAAAAATG